GTAATGAACTTTATTAACTTATTTACTTTATCGGAGCTACTGCTCTTCCGCCTCGCAGGACGTGTATCTTCTGTAATAAACTCTCGACGCGCCAAGCAAGCAATCACCAACAACGCCGTTGCTCCGGCAACCCACACACACACACACACTCACTCAGTTCGCCACACGATTGACTAGCGAACGCTAGCGCATTATTCTTGTAGTAACACACTTTTGTGTTAATTTAAATGGAAACGTGTTACTTTTCGTGTCGAGCGTCGATACATTTTCTATTGGGTAAACATAAAAAAATAATGTCATCTATTTTACAGTCCTTATGAGTGCATCTTACATTTTGTACATTACGGTACCAGGGTTACATATTTCAAATTTCATAACAGGCAATTTTTTTTAATTTTTAGTCTCGTTGATACAATTACTTATATGATCAGTGACATATTTTTAGCTGCTTTATTTTGTGGAATATTTGCTGGCACCGTTGCTGGTACTTTGGTACGATAGTATAATGTTTATTTCAATTGGAAAATAGAAAATTTTCTAAAAACCTATTTTTCCTCCTGTAGATAGTAATTGAATACAAAAAGCATCCAAAAGTCGCAATAGTAGCGGCCTGTGCTTATCTCATATTTATAGAATTTTTACTTGTGTTCAGTTGCATTTCACAAATAGTTTACGATGCAAGTGGTGAAGTATACGATGAATGGTAAGAAACATATTATTTGTTCGTAAAAAGTCTCTTAAATATAATGTTCATTTCTCACCAATATAGTTACTTTACTGAATGGTACAAATTTTCACCGAAAAACAGAAGAATGATACAAATTATAATGATTAGAGCCAGTCGCCCTTCTTGCATGACAATTGGGCCCAACCTTGTTTTCCATTTGAAGACAAGTGGAGATGTAAATGTGCAAACTTTATAACAAGCATTAAATTAAAATCGTACATATTCATTTTACCTATTACAGATTATTCGATTATCTTTATCCTACATTGCGGCATTGATGTCCATTGTACAATTATAATTATGAATCACTAAAAAAATAAAATGAAATGCAAGGATTTACTTGAAACAAATCAAAACCTGACCGCATATCTTGCGGTTATAATTAAGTTGTATTCAAATTAATTTTGTTACTAACGGCTATTATCATAAGAAGAAAGTTTATGCAAATTTATTAATTTTTTTCAATCGAGCCGCAGTTTGGATTGTAAGAATGCACTAACGCCTATATTGATACCTTTGACTTTCTTAACAAAATATATGAACTTAATTCAACTTGTTGTACAGTAACACTTGAAATATTCATAATTGTTAATTAATAAAGAATTCACACTTGATTATTTTTGCATTTATTTGGATTAATTGCATTAATATATTGCATTAATTTGAATTCAATTCATCGACTAAAGTACTATCCTGAAATAAATGTTTAAGTACGTTTGTGAAAGCAATTCGTTTTAAAAATTAAATGTTTCAACTTGTAAATTTATATCAATCAATAATACAATACACAAAAAAAATTATTTTTTATAGAAAATTCAAACTATCACTTAAATTTTAAATGATTGGGAGTTGTATGTTTGTATCTTCTTTTCGTCAGGTCGAATGCCTTATTTACTTGGGTATATTGTCACAAAAATGTCAATGCTGTCAAGAGCATTTTTTACTAAAACCCTACCTTGAAAGAAAAAAACCGCTGCCAATGTATTGGCAAGTTGCTTCCTCATACATTTTTTTTATAACTTTAAAATAACTTTGAAATATTAATATCATCTTTTCGAATTTTTCCACAAAACAGTTTCAATCATACATTTTTTCTGTTTGTGGAACCAATTGGCAATGTTTTTCTATTCTTCGATATATAATTTTTATTGAATTTTTTTCACTATGACGTAACAATTAAGGTAGTTCCCTCAAAAAAAAAAAAGTTTTTATACTAGCGGCCCGAAAGTGACTACTTTCCTGCCACTGCGCAAAGCGAGAAGAGCGATTTTCGGGCCACTGTATATGAATAATAGTATACATGCCTATGTCGCGAAAAAAGAAAGCCCTAGAGCACGTGTTTATCGGCCTCGGCTTCGCCTCGGACACTACTACACGTACTCTGGGACTTTTATTATTTTTGCGGCCTATGGCAGTAATATACTATTGGCAATATTAATATCATATTTTCTAATTTGTTCACAAAACAGTTTCAATCATATAAGAAAAAAAGTTTTCCCGAAAAAAAAATATTTTCAAAAATCGAAAAAAAATTTTTTTGTTCGTTTATCGCTAAACAAATTTTCTGGCTTCATCCTTAATCCATCCATAAACATCGTTTGACACATCATAAAATTGAGTATGAAACAACACAAAACTAAGAAAAAAAAAGAAAAAATCATAAAAACTAAATTTCATTTTCAAAACGTAACTTTTCAAACTTACGGTGAATCTTTACACTTTTTATCTTAAATCAAAGGTTAAAAGCTCTCCCTTAAAAAAAGTATTACTTTTATTAAAAAAACCAGATTGTTTTAAAACAAATATGACAAAACTAAAAAAAACATAAAAAAAAATTTTTTTTTTCTCGAAATACCCTCGTAACTTTTTAAATACTGAACGCAGAACTAAAAATGATGATGTTGCCTTCTTCCTTACATCAAAACGAATAAAATGAGACATCTACAGTAACGATACGAACTACCGTCATCCAGATATCACTGCGCACATCCCAGCACACGCACACATACATACACACACACACTGGCTCAGTAGGTATAATGGCTCAGTGGGTATAGTTCTTGCCTGCTGATGCAAGGTGTGCCGTAGGGCGTGGGTTCTCCCTACTTGGCGAATTTTCGAGGTTCGTTTTATCGCCTGGTGTGGTCGAGCCCGTGCCCGAGGCTGAGCGGGTACCACTCAAAAAAGAAGACCCGGGCTATGTCATCAGCCTCCAAAGCGGTTAAAAACCCCGATGACTGTGCGAGCTGGAAGCGAAAAAGATAACTAAGTAGGAGCCCGAGGCGAGGACTCACAAGGCTGTCAATAGATGGAGCACAACACTCCCACGATGAAGTCAGAAGCGAGAACCACACTCACAAGACGACAACAGAAAAAGGAGGAGTATCAAAAACTCACGGAAGACTCATAGGGTAGCACCGGAAGCGAGAACCACACTCACAAGATGCAGCCGACAGTGCAATGGGATGGGCTTGCCATCGGCTGCAGAAGCGAGAACCACACTCACAAGATGGCACTAGACAGCGAGTTCTGAAGAAGATGTCCAACTCAGGACGAGATGCCAGCAATGTGTGACCACGCAGACGGCTCTGAAAAAGGGGATACGACAATCGACGATGGCAGCGTGCAGGATCGGAGGTTCACCAAGAAGATAAAGATGAGTCCCTGAATGCCTAATCGTCGCATATCACAATGCGACGGATGGGGGATGTATGGAAAACAACGACTAACAGGAGTAGCAGAAATGCTCAACTAACTCCCCCCCGGCCTCACCGAAGCAATGCCTAACGGCGGATACCGGTGAGTGTCCGAATGGGGTAGAGTAGAAAAAAAAATACACACACACATACAGACATGTGTCAGCAATTAGATCTAGTTTAAGAATATATATGGGTCAGATTCAGAATTTTTCAAATAAACCTGCGGGCGAGGTTCACGGATTTTCCTGAAATTTTGGTATGTTATAGTACATGATAAAAAAGTGCCAAATCCAAAATTTTGGACCCCCTATTGGGTGCAGTAACATGTTTAATTTTGGCCTGCAGTGTTGCCGGTACTTTGGTATAATTGCACAAATTTAGTTTTAACCTGAATGAAGAAAAATCTTAAACCGCATAATTTTTTCTTTTAGATAGAGGTTAAAGAATATAAGCATCGCAATAAAGATGTCATTTATTTACGTAATCTTTATAGAATTTTTGGTCGTATAAAGCTATTTAATAAAGAAAGTTTACTAGAGGTGAAATATATTACGAATGGTAAGAAACATATATTGTTTACTCGTGAAAAGTTTTTTCTTTTATGTACAAAATGTTAAAGTATATTAAAAAAATAGTTATCTTACTGAATGGAACAAGTTTTCGACGAAAAACCGAAGAATGATACGAATAATGATGTTGAGAGCGAGTCGGCTTTCTTTTATGACGAATGGGCCAAACGCAGTATTTCATTTTGAAACAGCTGGCAAAGTAATTAATGAATATCGCTCATCAACTAACGTAAAATAATATAAAAAAAATCATTTTCATTATTTTAGGTTATTAAATTACCTTTATCCTACATTACGGCATTGTTATCTATCGTACAATAAGAATCGTGTACCAAAAAAAACTACGAACTTACCTGAGAAGAAATTAATCAACTAATTAATCAATTGATGGTGTTGCTGACATTAACCGACTGTTAGAAGCAATATGGGAATTATTTATAACAATGAATAAATATAAAGTTTTCAATTGAAAGTTTTTCAATCCATTGATTGTTAATTTAAATAATCAATTATGTACCATAAATTGTTAACTATGGGTGCATTGGCAGAAGACTTGCAACATTGATTAAAAATTTAAGTGACAATAAAACATATAATATTTCATAAATTGCAATGTTCAAATGTAATTTTTGTGCATGCTTTCGCTAGAAAATCGATGTACTTATGTCAGTGGAATATAATCCGGTCATGGCCATAAGTTTAAAATAATACAAAACGAGCAATATTTGAATTTGACAATAAGTGACTGTAACTAAGTAACTGAAATATTTACTAGTTACATTCTCATGTGTACTTATATTCAAATTTCAAGTTCGTACCTACAATAGATGGTGTCATCGCGACCTTATGAATTTCTATTTTGAAACGCATTATCAAATCTACCTTTAAACAGGATCATAGAAAAAAAATGAAAATAAAAATCGAATTCAAAGTCGGTAAGCAGAGCACGTATCACTGTCAATAGTTTTCAAAACGATTCCATATTGAAATAATCAAAGCATATGAACATTAATTAATATTTTTTATTCCTATCACATCTTAATAAATATTAGTTTTTCATCACATTTTTAAAATTTATGAACCATTCATATATGAAACCGTGCGTGCATTTGAAGTCATCGCATTGGAAAGAAAAAAGCATAAAAAACATTTGAAGCATATCGCGAATCGACGTTTCTCTTACAAAATCGTATGGTTTATGAATATTGCACCGTATAAAAAAAATCATTCATGTGTTCACATATCACGCATTTGTTGCTGTTTTCTTCTGAGCCTTTTGCAGTTTCTCGTTGACCAGGAGCTGCTCGTTCTTACGTACAAAGCTCCAGACGTCGTCGGCGAAGAGTTCGGGCTCCTCGAAGGCCGCGAAATGGCCACCTCTCGCTGGGTGGGTGAACTGTATCAGATTCACGTACTGATCGCGCATAATGGATTCCGGTCGATACATCAACTCGTGCGGGAACATAGCGCAGGCCGACGGGACTTTGACGGGGAATCTGAAAAAAGAAACGATATTTTTTCGAAGCTCAAAAAATGATAATTGTTTTGACGCCCCTTATGCACGTACTTGTCTACGGCGAGATCTCGATTGGGTTTGGCAAAATTCTCGGCGTACAATCGTTGGCTCGTGACGATGGACTCGGTGACCCAGTAGACCATCAAATTGTCCAGGAGCTCGTCGAGAGTGAACTTCTCGAGGAGGCCGCCGTCGTCGCGGAATCTATATTCAGGATCGGTCCAGGTGCTGAATTTTTCCAGTATATATGCTGCCAAACCGGCTGGAGAATCGGATAATGCAGTACCTATTTATCAAAACGATTAATGATTTATAAAAAATGACAAAGACTCATTGAGATATTTAATGTTAGAACGGCAACAATGACTGACCGACTGTATCGGGCTTAGTTGCTTGAATATGCATGTAACCCATTTCTTCGATCAAACGACTCAGGTGATGAGTCAATGGATACATTTTCGAGTGATGCTCGCTGTCAATGACTAGAGAAGGAATGAACGATCCCAAAAGGGACATGAGGTGGGCTTTGGCGCTCTCGACTACGCACATGTTGAAGTGAGCTCCGATGACACTAAAATGATAATTTCAATTCTCAAAAACAATGCTCGGGAGTCGAAAATTTACTAAATGAAATTTGCCCTTACTGTTCGGGGAAGAGAATAGCTAAGCATTTCGTGATCAAGCTTCCCCAGTCACCGCCCTGAGTGTAGAACTTTTGGTAGCCCAGTCGAGTCATTAAATTTTTGAAAATCACAGCCATCTGCCAAAAAAGAAACTTTATTTTACTTCCTCTGTTTTATATTTCATAGTGTATCATTTAGTTTTTTCTTTACTTGAGCAGTGCCGAGACCGGGCTTGGAAGCAGCCTGCGAAAATCCATAACCCGGCAGGGACGGGATCACCAGTTCGAAAACGAAGTCGTGACCCTGTTGCGGCGTTATCAATTTCGGTATGACCTTTTGGAACTCGACCACCGATCCGGGCCATCCGTGAAGCAGAAGTAAGGGCAGCACGCGTACCTTGCGATCCTTCGGCTGCTGAGGTTTTATGTGGTAAAAGTGAATGTCCAGACCTAAAATGATATCGGCATTGGATAATCACACGAGAAGTATCGATCGACGTATTAATTACCTTGTATTTTCGTTTTGAACTGAGGATACTTGTTCAGCAATTCTTGTCTCTTGTTCCAGTCGTACTTCTTTCTCCAGTGAGTCAAAACCGATTTCAAATAGGTCGATGGTACACCGTAAGTCCAAGCTACGCCTTCCAGCGGTTCAACGAACGTCTTCGTTTTATCGAGACGTTGATGCAAGTCATCTATTATCTGTGTGAAATTATAAAAAAAAAGAACATCGTTGAAAATGTTACGTAAAAATATTCTCGTTTTAGCCATTTATGTGTACCTGCTTGGAAACATTGATTTTAAACGGTTTGACATCTTTGGGATCGGGCACCGGCGCGCCAGGGCCCCAGTACTGATCCAACGGTAGCTTCGGAACTTCGACCGGTGCTTGGTATCTAAAAGTAAACAAAGAATACTTCATTCTCTCTTTCATTGCTACGTATATCGGAAAGAAAAATACAGCTGGTCACAATAGTGAATGCATAATGACCGATAAGAATACACTTTTTTACTTCGAGTGGTATCTATGTTTTATTCTCATATAATAATTACTTCGCTCTCGCGATCTCCGCTAGATCGATGCCTCCACTGATTCATAATTGCGAAGAAAAGACAATGCAGCGCAATATTTTTTTCTGCGTGTATGTAAGTCTCTTTCGAGAAAGTAATTTCGTTATCATCGTTTAATCAACATAAATCAAATTGATTCGCATTTATTTATCTTTCGTGAAAAGAGTGGTACTATCTCGACGTTTGAAAATTGAAACGAAACGAAGTATCGAGTATCGCGTACCTATCGTCGCGCCAAGTGTACACATAATCTCGGCAATTCGTGTGCGAGGATAATATTCAACAATTTTTGCTGCCTCCTCAACGTTGATGATTACATAAGCGACGTTTGCGAAGTGTGCATCCAAAGTTCATCGATCTATGGTGTTCTTATGGTGGAAAAATTACATACCGATTTTTATTGCGGTACACGTAATTTTTCCTCAAACAACTTCGAGCGAATTTGAGTAACTTGGAAGCACGTACAGTCTGTTATTATGTATCGATATGTTTTTACTCCCAAGCTTCGAGCAGCAGTCAAGTTGGCAAGGATCAAACCCGTTTAGAGATGGCCACTTGTCGGAAAAAAAGCAAAGAAAAAAAAAATCACGCTTCGAATCTGTCTCATTCGTTGCAAAGGTTCGTTATCCACGAGACCGTATTTTATAATAATATTCCATTCAAGATAGCGCACAGTATGAAAATCTTTTTTATCATTGTGTAATAATATTTCAAAAAAGTGAAAAGGTCGCGACACTCAACGAGTCATTATTTACGGTTACATAGGCAAAATTATTCTACAAAGCACACGTACCTGAGATGCCAGCCAATGGCGATTGTCGCCAGCAAAAATACAGCTGCGCCCTTCCACATGACGACGACGACGACAAAATGTATTTTTCCTATATATACTATTCGTATATGTGTACCACTTGTTGCGCCGGTCACGATGTTCCAACAGCGACTAACGATGACCGACGCTGGCTGCTGCTGCCGCCGGCTTCTTCGATGCAACGCGGCGCGTACAACTGTACATTTACGCGAGGCTGCGATGCGTTCCGCTGCTGTTGCTCTGCTGCTCCTCCTGCCTCGATCCCATTTTATTTTGCCTTTGCTTTTCAAGCTCGGCTTCGCGAGAGCAAAAAAGACGAGACTGAGAAAGAAAGAAAGAGAACGAGGTTTTTCTACTTTACCGATGATGATTTCGTTCGCACGAATCGTCCAGTAAGTATGACTCGAATTATACCGGTTTCAAATATAGTCATAATAAAAATGATTCATTCCGAGCTATTGAAGAATTCAGAAAAACTATGATATTAACTTCGATTGCCAAGGCCGAGTTGCGGAGTCTGCTAAATGCACATACACGTGAACAGGCATTTAAAAATCGGCTGATGGATTGCTTTATGCCGCATACGCTGGAGGCACGAGAGAGGCTCGTGTTAATCGACCAACAGCCACATTAGAGCGGAGATTACCGCGAGCTCGCGAGAAGCAGTTTTTTTTCTAAAAATGAGCTTTGCAAAAATTTAAAATTTCATATTGTTATTATTCTTGTTCTCCAGCAAATTCAATTTGATATCATGTACATCGGTTTATTAAATCTCTCGATTCTATGACGTCCGAGTGCGTCGAGTACTCGAATTTTATCGGGACTAATAATCTACCCAAGGTACGTATACTCGCAATGATAAGAGTCATTTTAAATTTTACGTAATATGCGCAACTCGCGTGCAGTTTTTTTTCACCCACGACTACTATGCTATACGATTCGAAACTCAGTCGTTTGCCAAAGTGCAGCGTCGAGATGATAAACGGAAAACTTCTGAATATATGTTACATCTATTATTTGTGCAATAAAGAGACGATGCGAATATTTGTTAATTTATTTATTTCGTATATTAATGAGGAAAACACTTTGATTGATTTATCTGAGTGTCGGAAACAAAATGTTTTAACGACAAGCCCAATGATTGAGTCATCATCGTTCACATGTACCGGAATAATAAAACAGCGATAATACAAGAAAACAATATTTTTCAATTTGATCAAAAACAGAAAAAAAATTATAAAACATTTCACAATACATTCAATACTTAGAAAGAGAAACAATATTGTACATATATGGACACTAGCACCACAGAGAGAGCAATTCTACAAAAAAGAAAAAAACACATCTCGGTGTATCACAGACTCGACGTAAACAAAAGAAAGAGAACGCGATCTACATCTCGGTTTTCTTGTTCTTCGGCTTCTTCTCCTCGGAGCTCTTCTTCGACGCGGCCGCTCGCAGTTTGTCGCGGATCGCCTTCACGCCGGCCCAGACGTCGTCGGCGAACAGCCGGGGCTCCTCCATGGCGGCGAAATGGCCGCCACGCGGCTGCGGAGCGACGCCCACGAGATTCTTGAAGCGATCGCTGAGCAGAGATTTGGGCTGGTAGGTGATCTCGTTAGGGAATTGGGCGCAGTAGGCTGGCACGTTTATTGGCACGCTGTGAGGGAAGAGAGATGTTATAATATCATTTTTTCATTCGCGTCAATGTATACATTAAAAATACTCACTTCTCCATGCCGTACTTGGCCATCTTGGAATTGAAGGTCTCCGCGTAGATACGGAACGAGCTCGCGGCCTTGTTCGGCACCCAATACATCATCAAATTATCCAACAGCTCGTCCATGCCGAACTTGTCCAGTAAACCGCCGTCGTCCCTCTTCCTGTAGTCCAGGTGCGTCGCCGTCGAGAACTTCTCGAGGATGTAAGTGGCCAAGCCGGTGGGCGAATCGGCCATAGCGACGCCCACCGTATCGGGCTTGGTCGCCTGGATGTGGAAGTAGCCGGACTCCTCGAGCAGAGTGGCGTACTTGGCGCCCATCGGGTACAGCTTCGAGATGTCGTACTCGGTGAAGAACAGCGACGGCGCGAACGAGGCCAGGTAGGTCTTGAGGAAAGTCCAGGGCCTCATGACGGAGCAGAAGTTCGAGTGCAGGCCGATCACGCTGAAAACGTATTTACGTTAAAAATGCTGTTTCGTGGACGAGCTGCTTGATCAACAACCCAATTGCCTATTTTATTCAGCTTCGCCGCGTGATATTATGTGTGATTTCACTTTGCCACTAGCAGATTTTTTACATATAAAGGTACTCGCCATCTAGCGGTGAAGACTGGCTCTAATTGTCATTAAATTTTCATACATTTTTTTGAGCATTGAACGAAACGAAAGGAAAGCTATTGAAACATTTATTTTTGATCAATAAATGTTTAAATTAGAGCGTAGAATTATTAAATATATTTTCGTGATTGTATTTTCAAAATTGTTTTTGCGAAAAATTAAATCAGCGCTATATACATCAACTTTGCAATTCAGTATCGATTACTTTAATTTTGATGTCTGACTTTTGACTGAAATTTCTGCATTGAATTAAAAATTTTTATAACAGTAGTACACGAGAAATGAGAAAATCGCAATGAGAAAATCAACGCTACTCACTGCTCCGGATACATGGCTGCCATGTTGGCCGCGATGATGCCGCCCCAGTCGCCGCCCTGCACGTAGAACTTCTGGTGGCCGAGCCTCAGCATGAGATTCTTCATGAGGTGGGCCATCTCGACGGCGCCGAGGCCGATCTTGGCCGCGGCCTGGGAGTAGCCGAAGCCCGGCAGCGACGGCGCGATCACCTCGAAGACGAAGTCGCGATCGGGACGCGGTGTGGTCAGCGGCTCGATGACCTTCCAGAACTCGACGACCGAGCCGGGCCAGCCGTGTTGCAGGTAGAGCGGCAGAACCTCGATCTTACGGTTTTTAGGCAGTTGGGGCTTCGCGTGGATGAAGTGGATGTCCAGACCTTGACGTCGAGTATCGTAAATTTAGTATTATTACGCCAAGCGATGATTCATTATTTATTTTTATGATTTTTTATACCTTGAATATTGGTCAAGAATTGCGGGAACTTGTTGAGATGTTTCTCTCGCTTCTGGAAGTCGTATTTATTGAGCCAATACTCGGTTATGCCGGGCACCGTCTTACTGTTGACACCGTAAGTCCAGGCGGCACCTTCCAATGGTTCTTGCAGGGTACGCGTGTTATTCAATCTTGCCTTGAGATCATCGATCATCTAAAGGAAAAAAAAAATTAGTAATTGATCATGATTGTTGTAAACTGCTAACAATTTGACCGATGAGGCATAAATCAACGAATAATCAATCGATCAAAGCAAGAATCATTTTTTAAAGGTATATTTGATTTGTATTTTATCGCTTTGTGACGTTTGATAAGAGATAAAAATTGTTGTAAATTTTAGTTTTACACTCAGCTAGTTGATGAAGAAATAGTTTCATAGATATAAAAACTATGCATCGTCATGTTACTTTATGTACAAAATGAAAAAAATATGAAAATTATTTTGTCTCGCGGCAGCGTGAACAAGCAAAAAAATGAATAACAAGTCTCGCGTCTAAAGCATGTACACAATCTTTTTTCCTCCTTCTGCTTCTTCTTCTTCACCATTGCCGGTGTGTGTAATAAAATGCAGTCAAACGACGCAATCAACGTCTCCTCTTTTTCTCTCTCTCTCTCTCGACTTACCTGTTTCTCGAACGTGATCTGGAACGGCCTGATGCTCGTGTCTAGCTTCGCCGGTGGCTTGCCGGGACCCCAGTACGTATCCTCGAGCACCGGCGGAGGCTGCGAGCACGGGGCCAGGTAGATCGTCGTCAGGGCCACCCCGACGGCGGCCAGGAGTATCAACAAGAGTAGGCCCATTGTTTTGACGTACTGTACGATCGACGAAAACAACAGGTTGTGTGCGGGTCGATGCTCCGTGCAGGCCAGAAGAGAATATTTTCCTATTATTTACGTCCCGAGGACGCCACGACGCGACACGAGCGCTGGGACTGCGAGCTACGCGATGCATCAGATGATGCATGTGCCGGGGATATATACTTGAGCTTACCGTCCGGTGCGGACGTTAAGGCAAGTCTGTAATGGGAGGCTCGAGTGCAGAACTGAGGCGCGCGCAAGAATTGAATGTATGAATTTTTAGAGATAATTTTTATCGGAGATTTTATTTTTCGATTATAGAAATTAAAAGTTAAGAAATTAGAGTATCGTATTATGAACATTCGTTTACGTCTTATTAAGTTTACAAATAATGAAATTTATCTTCAAACTTATGCTTGGGGGTTTTTTAATGATTATTTTGTATCACACTCGAAAATCTGCTGAAAAGATTATCAGTAAGCTGTTAAGTTTCTTCGAATACGGTTTAATGACCTTTGCAATGGCATAAGTGGTTAAAGTGCAACAGATTCCCGAACCGATCTTTGAGAATAAGCAATACTCGAGCCTAGGCTCAAGCCAAAGCCCAGGCGAGCTTCGCTCAAGGCCATCAATCCGTCGTCGTGCATCAGCTTGAAGTAGTCAAGCCTCAGAAAACTCAAACGGCGGCCGTGGCTCTCGTCATCCTGGCCGCGGAAAGCCCGGCTACGAGTACAATCCATTCTTAACGGGATGCCTATCACAATTTTTTTTCCTCAGCATCAAATTTTAGCAGCTGCATCGAAGTAATTTCCGGTAAGAAAGGGGGAATACAATTTCAAGGACAAAGTTGCAAACATTTTTTTTTGAAATTCAACAATTGAATCTGGCATCGTCGCATGACTTCGATTTCCGAGGAATCTTTCGATAATAGATCGATAGTGAATATTCATACGTATTGATATTTTGATTTTTTCTTAATTGATAATCAACGACCGTTCAGTTTTATAGGTATATCTGTAGATTTAGCACTTCAATAAATTATTTCCAATATTTGCCATGCAATTTCCTGCCTTGCAATATAATTTTCAATATTTCTTGCCTTTGTTTTAATTAATTTCATATCCAATTCGATCGATTCTATCATTATACTAGCTGTCGTGTTTCAAAATGTCATCATAGCATCCTTGAGTTATGAGTGTGATTTCTCAAAAGTTTGCATCCGCAGATCGGCTAGTTTTAATGAAAAAGAGCCACACGCATGATTCAATTAAAACTTCTTTCGATGTCACGAAGATAATTGTGGCAGGTTTGTGATTAATGGTGATTTGCATTTAAATTATATCCTATACTATCGGCACCCTGGCAATAAAACATCGCTGAGATCGGTCGATGAAAATATTGACATTTTTCTCGTTATTTTACAAGGGTATAATCTCACTTTCTATTTACTAAGATTTTAATCTCGCAGATGAAATATTGACTTTTAATAAGCTAAAGTTTAGAGGAGTTTTAATCGGTTAAATAAATTTAAAATGTGCGAAGATAACAAGTGAATTTTCAAATCGATCGGTTAAATGAAAATCAGATGAAGTTATATATTTTTGATACTTCACAGATAAGATATGCAATGGAAGTTTGCTAATTTTTTTTTTAAATATGATTTAATCAAAAAATATTGACTCGTGATACACCGCCTATAGTCGGCAACCCGACACCCGTACGAGCAGTGAAGTTGTCTGGGGAATGGGTAATAGAAATAAAACGAATTGATTCATGTTTCAGTTAAAACAATAACAAATACATATATATTTTTCAAAATTTGATACACAGTTAAGTTCCTCAGTTATTATTATTATTTTTTTGTGTTTTTTTTTTTGTTTTGATGATATATCATAATTGATTTTTGTTTTCTTAGTTCTTTGTCACTTGTATAGTTATTATTATTTTTATTTTTTTACTCATCCGTAATAGCTTCTATTGATGCTTACATTTTTTCATATTAATTAGACCTTGCATTTCGCCTGTAATGATTTGATATCGAAAAAGTGTTCATCAGTTTTTTTTTTGGTTTTGTCTCTAATAAAACATATGGATCGGACGACGTTAATTATTCGAAGTAAAGTGACACATAATTTATTATTATAATATTTTTAACTGCGACTTGATTCTTTTAACTTTCTCTACTGTCACTTTACTCGGTTCCTCGTATTTTTTACAATTATTCTCTCTAAGTTCTCATTTGCTAAAAAATTTATCTCGTTTTAGTTTAATTTTTTTTCATTACAATGTACTTGCTTGCATTTTATTTTTTATATTCATATTTTTCATTTAATATTGTACGAAGCTCTGCCTCTACATTATTATAACTCGATCTAAGTTTTCTGTCTGTTTCTTCCTTAATTATTTGTCACTCGTTTACTATATCATATGTATATTATTATATAGTTTATAAAAGTAACAATGAAAAAAAGCTAAAAAAGTACCTTCGCTTAATAATTAAGGATTACATTATTTTACTCTCAGAATTTTTCACCCTCTGTTTAATGTAAACAAATATACAACGCATTATTATTCTTTTACACGAAGAATTTCGAAAGTAAACAATCGCAGTGTAATTTTTGTTTTCTTCAAAAAATTTTTCAAAACGATTTCGCTCATTCATTATAATACAATGCGCTATTGTTGCAATGAAAATGGGTATTCATTGGAGTTGTTGTGGACGAAATCGTTCTTTATAAGTCAACCATTTTTTTTATCAAAAAATTGCATCTTCGTTTCACCTTCTTTGTATACTTAATAGTCTCATCAACAAATGTACTAACTTGAATTAATTTTTAAAATAAAGTAAAAAAATCTGGCTATACACACCGAAAATTATCAGCAATATTGGTTTAAGATAAAAATTGTTGTTGTTAATCTCATTTTAAATAGAGTTAAGCACTCGACTTGCACGAGTATTTTTTTAATAAATACCTACTGCTTCAATTTAATTGATTTGGTAATTTTTTTACTCGCTCTAAGTTACAACGATTTGTTCTCTACTAGAAAATTATAATGATAATTTTCCAACACTGTCACGACATTAATAAAAGATTATTGCATTCGCAAAGTGATTTTTTTGTCTTTAAATATTGCAAAAGAGAGTTATGATTCGTTTGTGCTTCTCTACCTTAAGCATTTGAAACTGCAGAAACACATTCACGTTCGTTTTTTGATACATCGTGTGTAATTTGTTTCAATCGAAAAATTTTATCGTTCGAGCACAGTGCGGACTCCAATCTCAATATACGAAAAAAATAAGTGTCTTAAAAAACTACTGTAATCACAATTACACATTGAGTTAATAATGTAGGTAAGCTTACGATACCAAACAGCTGTAAAAATATTAAAAAACCAGACTCTGCCAAAAATACTCGCTCATCGTGTCATCGAATCAGTAATTTTTTTTCTAATCTCAACGCGTTTATTATTTTTTTATCATAAAATTTGTATTGTTTTGTTGTAAATTTTACTTGTGTCGTTGTAACAATTATAGCTTAGAAGCGCATCGGGGGAAGACAGAAAACACTGTTTTATCGAAAATCTTGTCTGCCTGCACTATTGAACCCGCTGTGAAAATCGTGAAATAATAAAGAGAAAAAAAGGAAAATTCGATTCAACATAAAGAATTTATTAACAGTATATAATATTGCGTCAATATTACTTACAAACCATATTATCAATCGTAGACCTACGTGTGTGTATAGCTGGTAAAAATAAAAAGTATACGCAGTGAGTGTAAAAGAACATGATTTTTTGGAGTTTCGAGAAACGAAACACGACGAACATTTTATACACAATATGTTTGCATCGTTAAAGCTCTCATTCCATTTGATCTCAAATTAAGACGATTATAAACGACACTTAATTATAATACGATGTTTACATTACTATTGATGTGTATAAAAATTAATAATGCAATGAAAATTTCCTTGCTACGAATCAATCGTACGATTTTCCAACAAAGTTCAATTTTTCCCATATATTCATCCGCGATCGTGTATTTTCTTCCTCGAATCATAAACCCGATATGCAACCACATCTCGTCTGTTTTTGTTTTCATTCGTTTTACTAAAAAGTAATTTCGGCTAATTAAACATCATCATTATCATCGTACGCGATTCGCGCGACACACGAATAAGTATATCGGTGAATCTGCGCGACGGGAGTACAGGGGGCAGGGGATTGGTGGGGGGTGGGGAACTCTTAATTTTAATAGTCGATAGATTTCATAAATCTATTATAGATTCCACAATATACGAGTCTACGTCGTTAAATTTTCTAAAATAGTTTTTCTATTTATTTTTTGTTTATTTATTTTTGTCCATGCTCGTGTGTGTGCTTATTCTTCATCTTTATAACGCACGCTTTTACATCATCGTGCGCAACAATTTTCATTTAATATCAAACATTTGTGTGTATCCATGCCATTTCAAGTCCACGCGTACACGCGTATGAATAATTTTCATTTTTAACAATAAAAACATCGATACGCGTGTACAGAAGTAAAATTGCAACATTGTATTATGCAATAATAATATATACAATATTACGGGGGACCAAAGATGTACACAAATATATTCACGTGGAGACTTTGTTTTTTACCAAATTTTTGTCGTAGGATTTAAAACTGCTTTTTAAGATCCTGATCAAAAATTTTTGCTAAGAACACTTATTACATTTTTTTCTTCATGCACGTCTTTTTTTCTTTTATTGTGTGTAAAGAATCATTAGAGACACCGGTATTGTGTAAATATTATTAAGTGTTGTATTTTATATGTATATTATGTATAATCATAGGAAAATGAATCATAAAAATTTACAAGTTGCGCAATTTTCTCGATTTGGGTGTTCATATGCGTTTGGTTGTTTGTCCATTTTCAAAACAGTATTCTTTTTCATATGAATAAACTCGCACCCGTTCGTGTCCCTACCCGAAAAATATACATTCGTCAACAAGTTTACTATAATAATTTTTTCTTTTGTCTCGTCTCACAATCCGCAGCTCTCACAAAAATGTTCACAAAAGTCGTTTTTATTCATTTTTTACGTCATCTCGTATACAATATAAACAATCGTCGATTTAATTACAGTAACTTTTTTTCGTCAAAAGCGTAGTACCACATCGATATTCGACATATTTGTTTTCTTTTCTCTTTCAACCTCAACTACGTTGCAGGACATTTTTTTTTAACAATTAAATCTCCATTCCCACAATCTTTTCGTTCTGAACGATGTTGCGGGCGTTGATTTTATTCGTTCACACTTCACCACCATGAAAAAACGTATTTATAATTGCACTCCATTTATGCCAATATCATAAATCAGATTTTTTTAAAATCAATATCGCCGTATTAATTATAAGAATATAATAATCGTTATCAATAATCATATAATTATAATAATGTTTTTTTGCATAATGTAACTATACATAAAACTATGTACACTTTTTTAAGGCTGGGTATAGAAGGATGAAAATGATAATAATAGATAATTAATAAAAAAGGAGCAGAAAAAGAGACAAAGAAGAGAAATGTAATTTTCAAGTGTTACTTGGGACATGTCAACAGCGAAACAAAAAATCGTTCCTCAACACATTATATTACATAGTAATATTAGTACAAGGCTCGAGGTGGTTATTCATCACCCTTGTGTGTTTTCATTGTTCTTGTCGCGAAGTGAAAATCAACATGATCAGCCTTACAAAAGAAAACATAAAGCTTAAGAGACTTGCTAATAGATACAAAGTATAGCAATGGTAAAAAATGAAGATTCTTATCGTATTGATTTATATATATTTGTATATTTATATATAATATTTATATTATTTATATTGCACATCCTAAAAAACTAATGTCTAAAAATATAATAATAAACGCAATTAAAAAAAATCTTTACAAAAAAAAAACACTTCAACGCAGAGATCCATGATCGAACGATGGGTTAAAAATTAAATCAAAAAAATGTAGTGTAAAATTTTTTCGATCGAATTCACAACGTTAAAAGCTAAGCTTCTCTTCCTTCGATATTTTCGTCGAATAGCGTAAAATATTCCACAAGAAAAAAAAACAAGTTTACCAAAAGGATCGAGAAGATTTTCACTTCGTGAGATGTTAAATCGAAACACCAATGATAAAAACAAAAAATAATAATAATTTACAACAAATTTATCACCAATGTTTGTTTCTCTTGATTAAAAAACATCGTTACAATTAAATAAAATTGGAAGAAAAAGATGAAACAACAGGTTAAAACAAACGAATAAAAAGAAATATCGACAATTCGCAAATAATGTCTTTCGTATCTACACATTCTTTATATAATAAATTTCTCATACGCGAGAGACCACCCTCTCTGCATTATAATTTACTCATCTTCAAAAATCGGTAACAATCATGGTCACGTTTTTTCTAATACACATCTGAGAGAGGCGTAGTCCCTCTCTTGTCGATATTACGCAATGAAGAAATAAAAATCGAACAAAAAAAAACATGATTTCCTTAAACGATAATAAAATATACAATTACATAACATGTCGAGAGAAGAAGAAAAAAGCGTGCGTGGTAACGGCGGTTCTTTTTTCAATTTGCTCTTTCGTTCTTTTTTCCTATTTTTTTTTTTTTTTTTTTTTTTAATAGCCAAGCAACAGTAACAGCAACGGTATTCTTTTTTCGGGTTGCGGAAGGGTTGCATTATCACCGCATTTTGCTCTCAAGGTTGTTGGTGTACAAAGAAAAAAAAGATGACGAGGGGGGATGGGGCAAGGGGGCAAGTAAAGTAGGTTAAATAGATAAAGAGAGAATAGTTAATAAATAAAGTGTTTGCGGTAAAGAATGTTACTTTACTGTCATCGACAGTGTACAGAATAATAATTCATAATAATTAATGAGAATGATCGTATATAGTAATTATTACAAGCTCCTCTCGATCTTTCTTTTTCTTACTTCTTCTTTTTTTTTGTTAAACCTAAATAATAAATATAACTCTTTTGTTTTTCAATCTCTCTCTCGCTCTCGTTCTCTTTCACTCGCTAACAATTTTTCCAATTTTTTTTCGCGCATTTACACCATTATTATTAATATATAATTCATATTTATATAAACTCAATCACTCGTGTTGTATTGTATTATATGCGTAAGAGGAGGGGTCTCGATGCCTGATTTCTCTCATCCGTTTTTTTTTTAATAAGTTTTCACGATAACAAATCATCATTCTTTTTTCCGGGCCTCTCTTTTTTAATGAAAAAACGAGCCTTTCGCCGATTTTTTACAATATTTTTTTTTCAACATTATTTCGTTCGTTTGGATCGCGATCCAGGTCGTATCATGCCGCCACCGCTGCTGTTGCCGTAGTAGTAGTAGTAGTAGTAGTAGCTGTTGTCTCCATAGTCGTCCGCGACCCAATATCATCTCGAGGAAGAAGAAAAAATAAAAAGCGATGTGCGCACCTGTGCGAGGAGGCTCGTGACACCACCGCGTCCCCGGGTTACACGTCGGTGTATTTGCTCAGCTTGTCGCGTAGTATGCTGTTCTCGCTCTTTAGCCGATCTAGTTCTTGCCTCAGGCCCATGTTCTGCGAAACAAAAACGAGGATAAATGGAGGAAAGAAGGAAGGTAAGGAGAGAAAAACGATTTCGATTAAAACAATCTAACTGTGTGACAAAAAAAAATTAATGAACGTCATGAAAGTCTCACCTCTTTCTCGAGAAAGCCGGCTCGCAGGGCGATCTGGTTCTCCTTCATGCGGCGCGCGTCCCTGGACCTCTTCGCGGCCATGTTGTTCTTTCTGCGCCGGGCCCAGTATTTGTCATCCTTTAGGTCATCGGGCACGAACTGCAACCCCAGTATTTTCAAATTAGATCCATTAGTTGCTTTGCCATGACTGTGTTTGTTCTTAACAAATAGGTAGGAAAATATTTCGAAAAGAAAGAGGAAAAAAAGCAAAAAAAAAAGACAAGGCAGTAGAGAGGTGCGTATAAAAAACATTGATATTTGTGCAGATAGAGTATAGATATAACAAGAGAGAACATGTGAATCATTATTAGATATGTACCTGTTTGCGCGATTTCTTGATCATGGGCTGGGGCTTGAGTTCCTCGTCGGAGAAGGCCCGCGTCCTCGGGTCGAAGTCCCGCCCCGATGATGCCATCGAGAGCGCTATAAGAGACAAGCCATATTGTACTCGCGTCGAGTCCCCTGAGTCTGCCGAGACGAATTCGGGAAATGGTTTTTTTTTCGTGGTTAATTGCTTGGCGCTTTTTGGGCGTGTAGTTAACAAAACTTACAGTATACAGCTCAGAGTACAGTTAAATAATGAACAAAAACGTGAATAAATGTGTTAACTTCACGCGACAAAGAGAAAGAAGGCCAAACATCGTCAAAAATATATATTTGGCGTTTTTCCTACTTACTTTCCGACCCCACGCAAAAACTATGTAAAGAATTCGTCATCGTATCAAAAAAAAAAAAGGAAAAAAGCATAAGAATATCGATACTCACTCGAGTCCGCGGGCGAGGGTGGATTGAGAGTGTCGGGCGAGCAGCACTCGCTGGGTGACGGGGAGCGTTCGCGCTTGGTGATGGGTTCTAGATGGAGGCCGGCCGGGCCCTGATGGCCGTTGCTCGCCGAGCCGTCGTTCTGGCCTCCACCGCCGCCGCCACCGAGCTTGTGTAGTTGACCGGGATGCATGAGGCCGCCGCCGCCTCCGTTGCCGGGCTGATTCTGGGCGCCCGGGCCGCCGTTCGTGCCGTCCACGGGGATTCCATTCTCAGACAGGAACTCGTCGAGATCGACGTACTGTTGAGAAAAAAATCAATTATAGCGAGATTCGTGAGATAGAAATAGGTAAAATTGATTTTCAAAGCCAATGAATGTGATTTATAGCCAAGTATAAAAATTCAGAGATTTTTTCCATCAAAGTTGTTAGTTTCGTATAATTTGTCGAACGTGTTTTTCTCTGTCGTCTATTACAAGAAGTTGATGTGCTTTGTCGCAGTATAAGTGTCAAGCAAGATCAAAAGTATATCGTATCAAGCGGTTGCTGTATGTGTGTATCGTGTATTATATCAATTTTCAAGCAAGTCTGGATCCCAAAAGACAATCGATACGTTTATACTCTCAGGATCATAACCAGAAGTCGAGTAACCGAACTCGCGTGCGTCAGTCCAAACAAAAGATGCAGAGGATGCTTACGAACTACTTATAACGTTACTGCGTGAGTGTGAATTCGGTGCAAGAAATAATCGATTATAACATTGAACCATTAATTGGTGAATTGATAAAAAAATTAATAAAACGATGTTTCGAATATGATCTAAGTATTTTAACCAAAATACGAATAAATATTTATTACATGTTTAAGAATTTCACACTGTGTCTATGTGTAACTTAAGTATACGAATCCAAATCAATCACAACCCAAAAGTCAAAATACATCCCACGCCTAGCATAATTATATTCTCCTTGGAAAATTAAAGACCGAATTAATTCATATCATTGTTTTCTTTCTCAATAAGCGATTTTTCCATAGAAAACTATAGGCTCTGCAAAAAGAGCGCATACAGCTTTTTTTATTGGGTTAAGGTCCGAAACGAAGGATATTATAAAAGCCACACGCTGTTGCTACTATACGGCGCACATTACATGCTACATCTTCAATTATTAGCACGACAAGACCAAGTCGCTCGTCGGGTAGTGTGTTATCTCTATCTGACTACTACGACTACTGCTAGTTACTACTACTACCATTACTACTACTACCGACATGCATCGTATATACACTCATACACACACACACACTTAACGTCGCGGATCACAATGGCTCGGCTTTTAATTGACAGCAATTTGCGAGAACACGTCCGTGTAGCGGCTGCTCCGCCTCGCGACTATTGTAACTATACATACGTCTATATATGTGTAATGCACGTGTACATGCACGTATATCGTTACGAACGAAAAAAAAATCGAATTTATCTCATCGAAGAAAGTCATTTTTTCGAAATCGTCGTTTACGTGATTTTATTTTTTTGTCGTTCCTCGTGTATCGCGATCGGCTGATCGGTAATTCTTGTATGCACAACTGCACGCAGCGGTAAAAAGTTAACCGTATACCGTAAATCATAATTCAAATAGTGGCGAAAGACAGATAGAGAACGAGAGAGAGAAAGAAAGAGAAAAAAATGCGAGATAAGAGAAAAAAATGTATATAGATGGCTTGTTCCGTCGAGCCCGCGAGCTTGGAACGCAAAAATCCTTTCACTGATTCCAAAGATTAAAGAGCTATACTTGTACGTGTATGCGCACGTTACGTAATCACGATCGCGTTTGCATCTCTCCCTCTTTCTTTTTTTAGCAGCAGCGATTGATTTTTCGACCATAAAAGAGCATTTATGGGAGTCATCCCGTGGAAAACGCAAATGAAATTCCACTGCCAATGTGTATACCTAACATCGATTTAACCGCAAAAAAAAAGTTATCCAACTTTTCGAGGCTGCGCACATGTAAAGTAAGCACACCTCGCTGTAAATAGCAAATGAGTTGTGCCGCTCGGTTATAACCCGAGTGTCTATAGTATAAAGCTTAAGCTGCTGCAACGGTACAGCGGAGAGGAGAAAGTTTTCCAACACAACGAGTATAAGAGTAGAGAGAGGTATATAATGCAGCAAGAAGTCGAAGCTGCAAGATAATCGTCAGATTCGAACGTCACGCCATATAGCAAGCAGCAGCAGAGAAAGACGAAGAAAGATAGAGGAAGAAAAGGTCGAAGCTCTCCGGTATACGGTGTTAACCACCACCAGGAATACATATCCTATATATTACTACTCGGGCATGAGTCTCGAAAGAGCAGGAGGAGAAAGGGAGAGAAAAATTCGCCTTTCGCGCAAACTTCCTTTTCTTTCTCCTGCTCTGTATGTGTGTGTGTGTGTGTGTGTTTATATGCACGTCTATATACGTATGCATTGCTGGCGCAGAGTTTGTTCGCGCTTAGCCGCGTGACGGCGGCGATGCAGGAGGCTCGCGCTCGCGAGAGAGAGAGAGGTGAAAGTGACCGCGTGTACGTATGCATGTATGTATGTAATGTAATGCAATATAATATATGAATGTATGGATGCATACTGCGCGCGGAAGGGAATAAAGAAAGATAAAAAACAAGAGATAAAAAAATTGGTAAAAAGGATTTTGCTTTAATTTTTTCATCTCGACTTCGTGAGCATTATCTATATTCATGCGCGCTGCATACATAGCTCATGTATACATATAGAGTATAAATAAAGATCTCAAGGGTTGATTTCTTTCTGTATACGCCGTATGCACCGAATTATGCGATCGTGATCTTAAAATTTTCGTACATAATTTATCTTTCTTTATTTTTAATTACATTGAGAATCTCTCGTCGATTGCGTCCGAACATTTGCAAAAACTTGTCACGAGTATACAGTAACGCGAGACGCTTTGGTGGAATAGATAGCTCGAGTCGCGCGCAGAAAGTCTCATGCCCGCCAAGCCTCGCGTCCACGAGGTCGTTGCACTTTCTCTCTCTCTCTCTCTCGCCGATGCAAGTCAAACATAAAGAGACAATATTATACTGTGAAAACCATAAGAGGGAGAGAGAGAGAAAAGTGTAATTTCATTCGGTCGCGCGCGATCGTCGCTATATAGCTTTTAAAAGGCTATATACTACCTATGCGGCGCGCGAGAGCGATACAATAAATAATTTTATAAATGCACGCGCGCAAGCGTCCAGTCGGCTATAGGCGCGATAATCTGAAAATTCAATCGGGAAAATTCATAAAATTGACGCTCGTTTTTGCCGCTGCTGCTGTCCCGCAGCTTTATATTATATCTTTATATAGGTTTAATTAAGACGCAGGAGATATGCGCCGTGTATACGACTACTTCCTTTTTACGCGCGCGCGTTAGAAATTAGAAATCGATTTTATTCGCCTTGAAATATCTATCCATTGTTACGTGCGTGCGTGGAGCGAACGTACTAATTGTTCGCGATATCGTACATTATAATAATATATATGAAATCAGCTTGAGTTCTCGTGCACGGAGTGTCCAGAAATTTTTTGGCGGCACACGCAAAAAATTATTACTTTCTAATTGATCTCCCATCTCGGCCTATCTAAATATATTCGCTAATAATCATTCGCTTGCATTAACTTTGAGAGAGTCTGGTTAGTACATTATTTATAGATAACTCATTATCGCAAACGAAACAAAAAGCTGATAGCGTTATACTTTTGAAGTACGAGCACACACACGCATACAGACAATGCAGAGCCTTGATCCGAACTAGAGAGAAGGCATTTTTTGGTTAACAGTGTTAGTGATTCAAAAGCCTATGTTATGATGCAGGGGTATACACCAGCCGCGTTTGATCATACACGGGCTACGGCTAACTGTACATGAAAAATGTTCACTATATGCTATTTAATGCAAACCGTTAATAATGAAATAAATAATAAAAAAAGAAACTGATCACCCAACAGCAACGCAAAAAAAGAAATGCAAAATCTCCCGACAGGCCAAAAGAGCAAAAAACAAACAAACAAGGGATTGAAAAGAAAATGAATCAAACGAACACAAGAAAAAAAAACAATAAAAATAATAACTATATAAAAAAATCCTCTGCAAATTGAGTCTCTTTTTCATTTTTTTGATCGAGGCTTACCGTCTCGCGTCTGTGTACATACATGATTTAATACCTTCAGGTCGGCGTCGTAGGGCAGCGTCTTGTCCCAGAGATTCGGTCCGAGGAAGGCTGCCTGGGCTTCGACGTTGCCCCACAGCTCGCCCTCGGCCTCCTTCTTCTCGTCCGGGCCGTCCTTGCCTTGCTTTCCTGCAACAAAGAATTGAGCGCATTCGTTTAATTGTCGCTCTGCACCACACACGAGGTAAAATTATTAGAAACGAAAGTAAGTAAAAATAATTTATAAAAAAAAATTGAATATTCTTAAAAAGTATAGGTCGAGTTGTCAGAGAATCAAAAAAGGGAAATATAATCCTAAAGCATGAGTTGTTTTTTTCAAGTCAGAGCGTTTAGAGTGACTTTGGCTTTCTTCTTCCTACTACAAATCCATCTATGGCTTGTAAAAAAAAGAAAGAAGCATGTGTATACATGGAAGAGTTTTGACCTCGGGTGAGAGAAGTATCTATCTGCCTACACACTCTTTGTATGCTATATTGGCCTTCTTTCTTTCGGGATCCAGCACGCACGCTCGTCCTTGGGCTTTATTAAAACCAGTTAAAATGAAAATCCTATCCAAAAAAAAAAATTAGCCTCGTATAACAATGGAAGAATTAGGTAGAAATATCAAACCAAAGTGCAAAGATAACGGATTTTGCGCGCTGGTTTGCCACTTGATGATAAGCTCGTTACATCGTTAATCGTGCGTGCGTGTGTGTAGGCGCGCTCTTTCTTGCCCGCCAAGCGCAGCAACGAACTTATTAAAGCGTATGTCAAGGTTGTAGGTACACGTGCTCGCGCACACACACACATAGCATGTTTATTGCGGCTGAATGGGCGATTGTCTTTTCCGAAAAGAATACGATGCCTTGTATATATTATGGTAAACTATGATAATAAGATCGCGAGCGCGCGCATTGGCGAACGCTGCAAAAAGTTCGATGAAAAATAAAAAGTCGAAGCTTCTGTTTCTTTTTTCTATCGATTTTTTTATTCTTATTTTTTGTTGCGCTGGCGGGGCAATTAAGAAGCACACAAACGAGGAACGAAGAGTAGTATAAAAATATGTATGGAAAAAGACGCGCGAGCGTATGTATGTAATTTTGCTTTACAAAGACGAGAAATAATGCATAACAATTTTATCCGTACGTACGCACACACACACACACACACACACACACACACACACACACACACACACACACACACACACACACACACACACAGATGGTAACAATTTAATGACCCACACGCACGTTGTATTCTATGTACGTAGTTTCTATATATTAGGCAAAATCATTTGCAACTTCCTCTCGCGCGAGGTTTATCAAGTTTTCTTTTTCTACTTCTATGTTTCTTTTTTTTCGCTCTTCGCTCTTCTAGGCTTCAAATCGTGATACATACACATACATGATACTACAAATCGTTTCGAAGTTTCTCGGAAAAAAAAACAAAAAAACCATCGATCTATGTACTACTGTACAAGCACACGGATGTCGACGTTATTATCGATAATAAGGCGAACACACACACACACGTATTTTTGCCTAGCATGCAAATTCCTCTCGCTTTGGGTATAAAGAAGTTCAAAAAATAGGAGAAGAAGCTACATTTTTCCCGAGAAGTCATCGATGTATCCGGAGAATTTCATTATTATTATAATAGCGTGTCTATTAGGTGAAGTTGAACCAGGTTGCAATTAAGCGAATTATCTAAACGTTGGGGCGGCTCGGTTATTCATTATTAAAAAGCTTCATGGGCGATGATCGCAACAACAACACAGCTGGAACTTGAGCGTTTGAGCTTCGGTTATATACAAATTTTGAAAGCAATCACAGTTTCAACGTCTATCATCTGTATAACATATAGATATATTGTATAATTAAAACTTTGCAACACATTGTCCATAATACTTATATATTTTTTAAACTTTGGTATATTATACCAAAATCTTAAATGACCACTTGAGGGTTTTGGATGCGACATATATTGACGATAACCGAACTATATGCCAAGTATATCGTTCAAGAGATTACTGAACGCGACGTAAGCTTGCACGCAACCTTTATTTTTACTAAGGAGCTGATCTAACTTGTAATAGTCCGCGGAAACAACGAACTAAAGTGACTTTGCTATGAAATATTACAAATTTTAGAAAAACATTTGAGAAAAACTATAATGAACACGATAATATTCGTTTTAATTTCAGCATTATCCTTCACAATTAGAAGATGTCACGCTTTTTAGATTCAATATCTCAATTTACCATTACTATGCTTTTAACTTTCATCGCCCAAGTTTCTCTACAAACACGTTACGATAATATCCAAATATTCGCCTACGATACACGTGCTTATAGACACGTGGCCACGCGACACTGCACACAGCAGCGGCGGCGCGAGTGTCCTTGAGAGAAGATCGCTGCTGCTGCAGCACAGGACTTATATGCTCCTGTGCAGCGGCACACAACTTCTCTCTCTCCTTTTTCTCCTCTTATTCTTTACTCCTATCCTTCGAGGAATCGACGCTCATAACGGTAAACGCGTAAAACGTATTATATCCTATATAACCAGATTCTCTTAGCTTTTGTCGATTTGCTTGTCGTAGACTGGCAAAGTCCAATAAGTGGATTGCCTTGAGAGTGGAGTAAGTCAGTGCCGAAATCTTTTTGCCATCGAGCGAGGGAGATTTTTAGGCGCAAATGGCTAAAGATCCGCAAATCTCGCTCATATTATATATATATATATATATATATATATATGCACGATTCAATCCGTTCGATCAATTCGTTCTAATTATCTTCTCTATAAGGCAGAGAGAGAGAAAGACAAAAATACTTTATCTCTCCCGTAGCATCTCTCTATTATATATCGTAGTAGGCAAAAAAAGGAAATAATGTGTAAAAACTTGACGTGTGCGCGCACACACACATACACACATATATAAAACAAATCAAGTACTGCTATATGTTTACAACACCGAGAGAGAGAGAGAGAGAGAGAGAGAGCGACAGCTCTGCAGCTATATGTAGCGCGAGTTATCCCACACTGTGTTGCGGCATAAACGCGCGGATTGAATGAGAGGACATCCTATAGCGGAAAACGCTCGTTCCTGCCTTAGACGCCTGTGTCTCTATGTGTGTGCTTGAACACGTATTTTGCATGCAAGTATACGTGTGTGTGTGTGTGTGTGTGTGTGTGTGTGTGTGTGTGTGTGCAGTGGGAAAAAATAAAAGAGTCACGGTGCGGCTAAAGGACATTATACTACTGCGCCGATCGCGAGCCGTTAATAATTATAATAATAAATAATTAATAATGAGTCAGAGAAGTACACCTGTACAGATACAAACACACACACATATAAAGGCGGGGCTTAAATTAATCTTTCTTTTCTCACAGCAAACTCGTCCGTGTACCTATGTGTGTGTGTGTGTGTGTGTGTGTGTGTGTGTGTGTGTGTTTACGTATGTATCTCTATAGCCTTGGACCCTTTCGTGGACTCTATAGATTATAATACACGCCGCGCTGCAATTTCGAACGACATGCGATGCTGCTGCTGCTGCACTTCATGGCTCACGACGAGTGTGCAGCTCAGGGAGTGTCATTTATAGGCAATAATTTTTTTTCTTCCTCTCCAACTGATATACTGCTTTTCCACACAACTTCGAAAACTTGATTTTTCATAATTATATCGCTTTTATTTTTCTCGCTAATTCCGATTATAAAATGTGTCTCCTCTACGATGAGTATAAAGTACATTATGATTTTTTAACGATCGCGCAGAAAAGTATCTCTCTCTCTATTAGAGCAAAAGTGAGAAAAACGAGTTTTTCGCGCGAGCTGAAATTAAGTGATAATAAAGGCGAAAGAGGCAAAAAATCTCTGTCGGGCCGTGTACAGTTATATTAGCTGAAACGGCAGCAACGGCAGATATCGTTTCAAGGCGAAGGCAGTTTTTAGCTGCTGCTGCTGCTGCTGCTACCTAGCGAGATCGTAAAGCTGCGGAGTGTATACAAGAGTATCTGCTGCTCGGAAATTCAGAGACTTTTTGAGAGTGAGCGAGATAGCTGCATTAAATGCCTTTAATGAAATACTCGATAATAAGCGCACACCTCGGATATAAGCTACTTATTAGCATTATACATGCGATCGGTTGCCGATCGACGTTGTAGTGTATAGTGTACACATTGCACATTAAATGGCCATAGGTTTACTTCATCGTCGGCGCAGCACATGTCGCACGGCGCGCGTTTGTATGTAAGTTTTATATATATATACTCATATACACACACGCAACTACGCGTGTAAGTAAATTGTGTACACCCAAGGACTTGCTATACATACATACATTGGTATACAAGTGCACAGAGGCAGGATCTGATTAGCCTGCGATATTTCTTTTACTTTTTTTTTTCATTTTTCTGTTTTCCAGCTGTATATCTATCTATCTGTGTAAGTGCGAGCGCGAAGGATTTTCGATACGAATTGCAGATAAATCCACGCAGACACGCGCGGAGAGGAAAGAAATGTGTAGCGAAATTCCGCACGCATGCACGACAGTGTCGCAGCGGATATACATTCGATCAGCTTAGACAATCGAATTATTATCATTATTGTTGCTATTATTTACTTTTTTGTAACGCTGCAATTACGCATCGACTTTACCGTTAACAGCGGCAGTGATATATTTATAAAAATGTGCCGTTAGATCATCTGCTCGGCATTGCGGAAAAATTTATAAATCGGAAAAAGCTCGCACAGAGAGAGAGAGAGAGAGAGAGAGAGAGAGAGAGAACCTTGCCAATTAGTCATCGCTCATTCTTTCTCGATATATAATATATAATGTTTTTCGCAGTGGCGGTGCAACTCGTGTTATGTATTATACCTATGACAGTTTATTGCTTTGTAAATCAGATTTATTATATCGCCAATAACAAATAGGCTGTAACTAATCGTATCGCACGAGGCGGCGGTGGCGGTAGTGCAGTGGCGGCATCGTTCGCCGTTATAAATGTTACAGTATCCTCATTGTAGCTGATCGAATACACACACACAAATTTTCACACACGGTATAGTAGTTTGATATCGGACGACCAGCCCGAGAGCAAAGAAAATAGTAGAGGAGTAAATATAAATGAAAAATAAATAAAACAC